CTGCATTAGAATTCTGATGAGTTTTCCTGGGGGGGGGGGGGGGATTTGTGCCGTGGGTGATTTTAGCTCAGGGGGTAATGTGTGTTAATTACCTCTGAACTCTACTTTACATACCACTGACCTCTGCACAGTGTGTAACAATCTATTGAACCCTGCACTCTGACTTACATACTACTGACCTCTGAACTTTGTTACTCATGCCCTCTTTGATACATACTCCTAACCCCTGCATTCCATGTTACTTACTAATGACCTCTGAACTTTGCATTACTACTGACCCCCTGCACTACATACTACTGACCCCTGTGCTCTGCATTACTACTGATCTCTGAGTTACATACTACAGACCCCATGCACTCTTGTGTTACATACTACAGACCCCATGCACTCTTGTGTTACATACTACAGACCCCATGCACCCAGTGTTACATACTACAGACCCCATGCACCCAGTGTTACATACTACAGACCCCATGCACCCAGTGTTACATACTACTGACCCCTGCAGTTGGTGTTACATACTACTGACCTCTGAGTTACATACTATGGCCCCCCGCACTCTGCATTACTCCAGACCTCTGCAATACATATTACTGCACTCTGCATCAAATGCTACTGACCTCTGCGTTACATATTACTGACCCCTGAACTCTATAAACCTTCCTTACTATTTAGAGGGACATTGCTAGATTTTCTCCCTGCAGCCCGGTGTTCTCTGATCTCTTCCATGCTGTTCAGGTAGATCCCCACCTCTCCAAGGTCGCCTACCCCGGCCCTTAGGTAAAAATACAGCAATCTGTACATAAAGAGGAAAACAATTTGTCTTGTTGGCAGAGTTGAGAAAGTCAATAAGAAAATAACGTCAATGTGTACGACTTGCAGAACTTTATTCCGAATAAGGAACAATACAAATATATAAACTTTACTTCAGTTTTTTTTCTTTGCAACATCTAGTGTCTCAAAAACCTAAAACGAAATTGTTGGCCGCCGTGTTCAAAGTGGACCTGTCACACAGCGGCTGTTATCAGTGCAGGGAGCCATGATGTGAGACTAGGTGAGCGGGAAGGCAGCCTGTGAATTCACTAAACCGATGACAATGGTCACATGTCAGCGGTTTAGTGAATTCACAGGCTGCCAGTCTTTACTATGGCCCCCCGCACTCTGCATTACTCCAGACCTCTGCAATACATATTACTGCACTCTGCATCAAATGCTACTGACCTCTGCGTTACATATTACTGACCCCTGAACTCTATAAACCTTCCTTACTATTTAGAGGGACATTGCTAGATTTTCTCCCTGCAGCCCGGTGTTCTCTGATCTCTTCCATGCTGTTCAGGTAGATCCCCACCTCTCCAAGGTCGCCTACCCCGGCCCTTAGGTAAAAATACAGCAATCTGTACATAAAGAGGAAAACAATTTGTCTTGTTGGCAGAGTTGAGAAAGTCAATAAGAAAATAACGTCAATGTGTACGACTTGCAGAACTTTATTCCGAATAAGGAACAATACAAATATATAAACTTTACTTCAGTTTTTTTTCTTTGCAACATCTAGTGTCTCAAAAACCTAAAACGAAATTGTTGGCCGCCGTGTTCAAAGTGGACCTGTCACACAGCGGCTGTTATCAGTGCAGGGAGCCATGATGTGAGACTAGGTGAGCGGGAAGGCAGCCTGTGAATTCACTAAACCGATGACAATGGTCACATGTCAGCGGTTTAGTGAATTCACAGGCTGCCAGTCACAGAGCGGCCCCGGCCATAGTAAACTCACTCGCTTATGTAGAATCGGCCGAGTATTGCTTCAGTGGACAACATGACTGCTATGACTACCTACGACAGGTACACTTTACACACAAACAACAGCACACGACTATGGTAACAGTTTTAACTTAAAGGAGAAGTTCAGCCGAGAGGAAAAATGATTAGTAAACGTAAGAATAGCTGCATGAAGTAGAATCATATTAAATGAAGGGTGAGCAGTGTATGGCACAGAGGATACATAGAACGTCCGTCTCCCCGCAGATCGGCTACAGTGACTAAGCGTCACTAGGAATCGGGAAATTCTAAGTTCTAATCCATACGGGTTACAGTAGCTGTAAAGGATGTTGGTCACTCCCATCTCTCCATTGCTCTAGTTTGGTGAGCTTCCTATACCAATGAATAGGGAGTCCATTGAGTAATTTGACCAAGATCATCCGCTTGGTTGACCCAAGTCTTGGCCTGGTCACAAGCTCTACCTGGAACTCGCCGGCGGGGCTGACTGACAAGGATTCAGAAAGAGCAAAGTGGGTAACGTTGAGCAGTACTTTCTGCCCCCCATTTAATTAAAGTGTTTGCAGAACCGAAAACCAGTTTTGGATATAGAGCAGGGCAGAGTTATAACCTCTGATAGGTAAACAGAGGGGATGATTTTGTGCTCCGGGTAAATCTCATTAACAGTTGATTGGCGATAACAAAGCAACCCTGACTTCAAATATACTGTGACGGGGGTAGGCAAGCTTGACACTCCAGCTGTCGTGGTACTACAAGTCCCATGAGGCATTGCAAGACGGACATAAGGGAATATTCAGTTGTCCCCTCACTTTGGAGAGCTAGCCTCTTACTTCCTGTTGTACCTCTGGGACAGGAAGCAAAGTGAATTCTCCCCGACAGGACACACACAAAAAAAAAAGACGAGCTTTTAACCATTTCCTAATGTATCCAATACGTAAAAATAAGTTGGCTTTAGATACACTTTAATTCTCACTAGTGCTGCTACCATGCTCACTGGGAACCTACAGTATAAAGCCGAATGGCACCATGGGGAATGGAGTAGTAAAGTTTTGTCACCCTTGAATCAATGACAATCTTCCAGTAGTATCAGCCGAACCATTTCAGTGCTTAACGAGGACAGTTGTGGGGGTGTGGGGATGGGGACATCACTCCTCTTTGGCCAGGGAATCGGGACTCAGGGGATGATTCTCCTCCAGCCTCTCGCCGGACGAGTCGGCCAAGTCGAGGGCGGTTCTCTTGAGAAGGTAAACGCCGGCGTGAAGCCCTCCTATGTTAACCCAGACCGTGTGCATCTTCCTCCACAGGTGTCCCGCTCTGGCCAGGGCCTGAAAATGAAATGCAAATATTGAATGAAAAGCGCCTATTCAAGTTTGGAGTTAATAAGAGAAGTCCGATTCTTAAAGCCCAGCTGAACCTTCAGTAAAAATCAGCTAAATACATTCCAGGGGCAGCAAAGGAAAAGGGTGTGTAAAGCCTAAGGGTTCGTTAGTGCGTTCCGGCCGGAATGCACTGCATCGCATTGCGGCCGGCTCCCTTTTTTGCTGGGCAGGAGGGGGCGTGGCCGCAGAGCTTTCTAATTAGGCAGCCGATTTGCCTCATTAGGCAGCCGCCACTTGATTCTGTGCCACCCAGCCTCGGCCCACCGGGCAAGTGCCCAGTATGCCCAATGGTAAGTCCTGCCCTCTCCGCCTCATTGTTTTGGGGCGGCATTCTCTGCCGCCCCCCTGGAAAGTGCCTAGTTTGCCTTGCAGTAGATACACCCCTGGGCGTGGCGGGCCGTTGAAGTGAATGGGGCCGTAGCCACGCCCTGTGGCCGCAATGTGATCGCCTGCACGGGATTGCAGAGCACTTTAAGCCCTTTCACACGAGAAACGGCCAGCCCGTACAGATCCGTGCTGCGTGCACGGCCGTATCGGGCTGCTCCCAGGAAGGACAGGTGCTGCGTGTGATTACACGTAGCAGCCTGTCCTTCTCTACGGGAGTACGTGGCCGTACACCACCCTACGCTCACCCGAACTGCCCGTCCGTACGGGTGCGGGTGTCTGTACTCGTACGCTGATAGGATGGTTTGCCACAGACTCCCATAGAGAAGCACCTGTCCTACCCGGAAGCTGCCCGATACGGCTGAGCACGGATCTGTACGGGCCAGCTGTTTCTTGTGTGAATGAGGGCTAAAGGTGCAGCCCACCTGGTCCAACAGTTACCTCTGTCCCCGTTCTAGCAAATTTTTACTAGGTGGCTCTGCCTGCAGCTGCACAGCCTATTGAAAGCCTCCCGCTCTTCATCTTGTACATATGCACAGCAGCCCCATTCATTTCTAAGGAGAGCACATACTCCAGAGGAATGCTGGAGGCCACCATGAGTATGGCCCCACAAAGAAATCAATTGGGTTGTTGTATGCACGTCCTCCCGTCACCCTAGGCTCAGTATACTGAGACGCCGCAGCCGGAGCGGATCCCAACATCGATGTCGAGATCCGCCCAGCTGCGTGAGTGACAGCTGGCTCTGCCTATCTAGAGGCAAAGCCAGCTGTACCCGCCCCCTCCCCCGTCCGTTCCGCCAGTCAGCGCTGGAGGATCGGGGAGGGGGGAATCCAGCCCCTCCCCTATCACAGCAGAGAGCCGTGACAGGATCGAGAAGTTAGCGAGCGCCGGTATGTGTTCGCTCACCTCCCGATCTACTGAGCCGACCTGTGACAGTCTCATTGTCACAGGTCGGCTAGAACTATGAGGTGAGTGAAAAGCACTCACCTCATAGTTCTCCTTTAAGGGGACAGAAGTACGTGTTGCACCAGTTGGGCTGCACCCCCAGGAGGTTGGGAACATGCCTTAAAGGACAACTTCTACAAAACCTACTGCTGTCCTTTTATTAAATGGGACTGCTCATTTAGAATATTCACCTTAACGAAGCATTTTCTATCATGGGTCAGAAGAACGGCTCTCCCAGTACCGGCCCGGCACACGCGGCTCATCTCCTGGAGGCAGGCGGGGTACAGGTCCCAGTTCTTCTTCTTTGACCCGATTCTGTAAACACACAACTGAAAGTAAGGCGGGTGAATGGAGACAACTTAACCAGTCTACCTAAAAACACTGCAAGAGACCAAGATGTATGAACACTGGGGGGGGGGGGACATGCGGAGACGAG